TACCCCGCACCCCCTGCCGCAACCCTCCAACTCCCTCCCCTGAGCCCCTGCCACACCCCTCCTGCCCCCTCTCGGGGCAGGGCCGGGGGCAGCGAGGGGGGGGGTGTCAGTGATGCTGCCCTCGGGCCAATGAACTAGTCCTCATGCAGCCCTCGTGGTCATTTGTGTTTGAGACCCCTGGGCTAGGCTCACAGGCCCAGCAGCTAAAGCCAAGCCCCACTGAGAGCAGCGGGAGATTAGCCTGGATTGGCAGGAGTAGAGGCTTGGCCCATGGGGACCCCAGGCACTGCCGCTGCTGCTACCTTCATGGTAAATCCTCCAACGCCTCGCCAAAGGGCTCTTCCACATTCTGCAAACTGGCCTCACGGGCTGACTGTCTAGGAGAACAGAAACCCTTTGTTAGAGCCGGAGAGTCTCTTGCCACCGCTCCCTGAGGGTCACAGTCAAACACCTGCGAGTCTCTAGGAGGCTCTCAAGCAGTTCCCTGCTCAGGCACTTGGCACCCACTAGCAATGGTCTCTGACAGCGACATTGCCAAGGGGAGCTCAGCAGATGGTCCCTTCTATGGCTTCCTGAGTGGGAGGGAGGTTGGTCTTGTCATTTAAGGCCTAGTGTAAGAGTCAGGCCTCCTGGGTTCTCTGTCTTTGGAAATGGGTGGAGTCTAGTGGTTGGAGCTGCACTGGTATCAGTCCCACGCTTCCTTCCTGCCTCTGTCAGGGACGTCGTGTGTGACCTTGCAGCCAGTTGCTTTCTATCCCTATGCCCCAGCGAACAGGGATAATACTGACCCCCCTCAGAGGGGCTGGCAGGGGTCATCAGCGTCATGACTCTAGTTGGAACAAGTTGTGCTCTTGGTAGTGAAGGGCCCAGATTCAGTCCCCATGGATGCCCAGGGGGTCTGTATTGTGGCCATGGTTTGACTCACCTAGCATTACAGGCTGTTTAGCCCAGTCCTGGCCAGGCGTGGTGCATCTGCTCCTGGCCCTCTCATCACACACAAGAACATGGCCCACCAAGGACAATCCATCAGCTCCCATCTGGTGTTCAGCTCCAGGATGGATGGGGAGCCCTAGCCGGACCATAGAAAGAGGGGGGGGGGTGTTCTTTGGTGGAAACTGCTGGTGCTTCAGCCTCTGCTCCCACCTCCACCCACACGCTGAGGGCTTCAAAAGAGGTGCCTGACCCCAGGTCAACAAAGTAGCCGAGCTGAGACCAGGGTGGGACTGATCCTAAGAGAAGAGCAGATTTCTCCTCTGCTCTAGGGAGATTCCCATAGGAAAGGCAGCTGGGGTGGGGTGATACAAGCACTACCCCTCAGCCCTTGAATAGTGGGCAACTGGGACTTTGGGAGCCAAGGGACTGGTGTATCTTGCTGGAGAGCAGAAAGGGGCATTGAAGAAATTGTACAAAAGTGAACATCACGGCTGGGTCAAGAGCAGCCAGACCTACTGGTCAGAGCCAGAGTCCACACTCACATGACAGGAGTGGAGAGTCAGCCGGGTCATTGGAAGATCAGCAGCAAAAGACAAACGTGCGATCACCACCACAACTCAGATGCCAGGAAATCAAGCCAGGGGAGCGGCAGCAGAACCAGGCAGCACACGGTCCAGAACAGGGAGCAGGCCTGGTGTTCAGTCAGCTTCGTGTTCCTGCTGCTGTCTTACGCAGGGCCAGGGGGCCAGTGAGCTTTCCTGGGACGCTTCCAATACGACC